GTCAATGTTAAGTTTCAAATCATTCAACAAATGTTCTTGTTTTGGTTATTCAAACTAAAGAAAAAAAGATTAAAAAAAATATAAAAGATATGGAGCTGTGCAAAATGAACACACTTTTACAAAGTGTAGCATGTGCATAACAACTTGAACCAAAAAGCCAATAAGAGTCAATCAAGAGTCTTTCATAAGCCTATTTCAACCTCGTTTTGTAAACAATTTGGGCAATACGTCGTAGTGAAGTTTTCATCATTCTAAGCTTGGACCTGGAATCAATGAACATATGACTGTTACCAAGAATATCGCGATCATACGAGTAGCCATATAGCGGACAATAGTTCCTTACATGCTTGAAATGGGACGACCAACCTAAGTTTCTAGAAAAATAAGCATTACACATCAATATGCAGTGTAGCTGCAATAACTGAAAATAATGCAAAGGTAAAGGCCAAACAAATGTAAAACTGATCTCTATTACTTACGATGTTTCACAAAGTTTTTTCAATTAGAGTGGTAGTTGTTGTATTACTATTGTTCATTCCTCAATCATTCGAAAATGCTTTACAACTCAAAGCAACAAAGTGAAGTCGTAACAAGACATCAAAGCAAATACATCGAAATTTTATTCTTACTCATAAAACATCCCACAAATTTGTTAGCCCTAGTGAAGTTCAATTCTCAATTTAAGATAGCGAAGAAGGAGGTGGGACAGAAGTTGCAATTATACAATGATTAAATACTCGGTCAGCCCTAGCTTGAATGGCAGTTCTGTTCCCGGTGTGTTCATAAGTAAAGGTGTTATTCACGAAAACATTATGGCACGGTTTTCCCAACGCCACAAGGGCCCGGCAACTAAAGTCACCGATTTTCTTCTCTTTGAAAATATAGTTGTACACGTCGAATGCGTACTTTATGCTGAAATGTTTTTTGCACTCAACCACTGCCGGCGAGTCATCCAAATGCGCCAATGTTGGAAGTGCGCAATTCGCCAAAAGCAAAATGACCATAATTGGAAACATGTTTAGTCCGGCCATATTGATGGAAATAATGAGTGACTTTTGATTTTCTTAGAAAATGATCCCTTAGATGCAGTTGAACTCTAGTGCAAGGAGTTCTATACTTATAAGGGATGAGGCAAAGGTGAGAGTCATTCGTAAAATAAAAAACGCATTTTCCTTTAAAACTACTTTACCAACGTATTTGCTGATGTAAGGTATCAAATACGAGGGTTTCTAATTTGGTATTTATTTTTCGTAACGTAAACTCAACTTACAAGTACCCATAAATTGTTTAATTAATCTCAACAATCACCTAGCTATTTATTATTGCACACTAAAATTACATGTTTGCAAATTAATACACCGACTAGTTTAATACCATAGAGTTGCGAAAACTGGTGAACTGAACTTGTATGTCGTGTTAGTGACTACCGTTGCGTGAAAAAGTGAAGACAAGCAGGAAAAAGAACGCGACTAGCCTTAATTGTTCTGCAATAAATGGACAAACATATTTCTCGACTTTATTATTCCTACTATGTCAAAATGAAAATGTAACGTAAGAGATTAAATTTGTTAAGAAGCAAATAATTATTGAAGTACAATACATTAACTAAATGAGCACCCTTTTCTTGGTAAACTCATTTTAGAAAAAATATTATATCACACCCTACTGCGTATAGTACAATACTCATGCCCCACACGCCCGGATATAACGTTGACGATCTACAGTTGCGTCAATGTTAAGTTTCAAATCATTCAACAAATGTTCTTGGTTTGGTTGTTCAGACTAAAGAAAAAAGATTAAAAAAATATAAAAGATACGGAGCTGTGCAAAATGAACACACTTTTACAAAGTGTAGCATGTGCATAACAACTTGAACCAAAAGGCCAATAAGAGTCAATCAAGAGTCTTTCATAAGCCTATTTCAACCTCGTTTTGTAAACAATTTGGGCAATACGTCGTAGTGAAGTTTTCATCATTCTAAGCTTGGACCCAAAAACAATGAACGTGTGACTGTTACCAAGAATATCGCGATCATACGAGTAGCCATATAGCGGACAATAGTTCCGTACATGCTTGAAATGGGACGACCAACCTAAGTTTCTAGAAAAATAAGCATTACACATCAATATGCAGTGTAGCTGCAATAACCGAAAATAATGCAAAGGTAAAGGCCAAACAAATGTAAAACTGATCTCTATTACTTACGATGTTTCACAAAGTTTTTTAAATTGGAGTGGTAGTTGTTTTATTGCTATTGTTCATTCCTCAATCATTTGAAAATGCTTTACAACTCAAAGCAACAAAGTGAAGTCGTAACAAGGCATCAAAGCAAATACATCTAAATTTTATTCTTACTCATGAAACATCCCACAAATTTGTTAGCCCTAGTGAAGTTCAATTCTCAATTTAAGATAGCGAAGAAGGAGGTGGGACAGAAGTTGCAATTATACAATGATTAAATACTCGGTCAGCCCTAGCTTGAATGGCAGTTCTGTTCCCGGTGTGTTCATAAGTAAAGGTGTTATTCACGAAAACATTATGGCACGGTTTTCCCAGCGCCACAAGGGCCCGGCAACTAAAGTCACCGATTTTCTTCCCTTTGAAAATATAGTTGTACACGTCGAATGCGTACTTTATGCTGAAATGTTTTTTGCACTCAACCACTGCCGGCGAGTCATCCAAATGCGCCAATGTTGTAAGTGCGCAATTCGCAAAAAGAAAAATGACTATAATTGGAAACATGTTTAGTCCAACCATAATGATGGAAATAATGAGTAACTTTTGATTTTCTTAGAAAATGATCCCTTAGATGCAGTTGAACTCTGGTGCAAGGAGTTATATACTTATAAAGGATGAGGCAAAGGTGAGGGTCATTTGTAAATTGAAAAACGCATTTTCCTTTAAAGCTACTTTAGCAACGTATTTGCTGATGTGAGGTATGAAATACGAGGGTTTCTAATTTGGTATTTATTTTCGTAACGCTAAAATTACATGTTTGCAAATTAATACACCAAATAGTTTAGTACAATAGAGTTGCAAAAACCATGAACTGAACTTACATGTCGTGTTAGTGACAATCATTTTGTGAAAAAGTAACGACAATCAGGAAAAAGAACACGACTCGCCTTAATTGTGCTGCAATAAATGGACAAACATATTTATCAAGCATTATTATTCCTATTATAACAAAATGAAAATGTGACGTAAGAGATTAAATTTGTTAAGAAGTGAAGAATTGTTGAAGTACAATACATTAACTAAATGAGCACCCCTTTCTTGGTAAACTCATTTTAGAACAAATATTATATCACACCCTACTGCATATGGTACAATACTCATGCCCCACACGCCCGGATATATCGTTAACGATATGCAGTTGCGTCAATGTTAAGTTTCAAATCATTCAACAAATGTTCTTGTTTTGGTTACTCAAACTAAAGAAAAAAAGATAAATATATATATAAAAGATACGGATGTGTGCAAAATGAACACACTTTTACAAAGTGTAGCATGTGTATAACAACTTGAACTAAAAGGCCAACATGAGTCAATCAAGAGTCTTTCATAAGCCTATTTCAACATCGTTTTTTAAAAAATTTGGGCAATACGTCGTAGTGAAGTTTTCATCTTTCTAAGCTTGGATCCGAAAACAATGAACGTATGACTGTTACCAAGAATATCGCGATCATACGAGTAGCCATATAGCGGACAATAGTTCCGTACATGCTTGAGATGGGACGAGCAACCTAAGTTTCTAGAAAAATAAGCATTACACATCAATATGCAGTGTAGCTGCAATAACCGAAAATAATGCAAAGGTAAAGGCCAAACAAATGTAAAACTGATTTCTATTACTTCCGATGTTTCACGAAATTTTTTAAATTGGAGTGGTAGTTGTTTTATTACTATTGTTCATTCCTCAATCATTTGAAAATGCTTTACAACTCAAAGCAACAAAGTGAAGTCGTAACAAGGCATCAAAGCAAATACATCAATATTTTATTCTTACTCATGAAACATCCCACAAATTTGTTAGCCCTAGTGAAGTTCAATTCTCAATTTAAGATAGCGAAGAAGGAGGTGGGACAGAAGTTACAATTATACAATGATTAAATACTCGATCAGCCCTAGCTTGAATGGCAGTTCTATTCCCGATGTGTTCATAAGTAAAGGTGCTATTCACGAAAACATTATGGCACGATCTTCCCAGCGCCACGAGGGCCCGGCAACTAAAGTCACCGATTTTCTTCCCTTTGAAAATATAGTTGTACACGTCGAATGCGTACTTTATGCTGAAATGTTTTTTGCACTCAACCACTGCCGGCGAGTCATCCAAATGCGCCAATGTTGGAAGTGCGCAATTCACAAAAAGCAAAATGACCATAATTGGAAACATGTTTAGTCCGGCCATAATGATGCAAATAATGAGTAACTTTTGATTTTCTTAGAAAATGATCCCTTAGATGCAGTTGAACTTTGGTGCAAGGAGTTATATACTTATAAAGGATGAGGCAAAGGTGAGAGTCATTTGTAAAATGAAAAACGCATTTTCCTTTAAAACTACTTTAGGAACGTATTTACTGATGTGAGATATCAAATACGAGGGTTTCTAATTTGGTATTTATTTTTGTACCATAAATGCAACTTACAAGTTCCCTTAAAATGTTTAATTAATCTTAACAATCACATAACTATTTATTATTTCGCACAAATATTTTTTGTCTGCAAATTAATTCACTGACTAGTTTATTACAATAGGGTTGCAAAAGCCATGAACAAAACTTACATGTTGTGTTAGTGACTATTATTGCGTGAAAAATTAACGACAATCTGGAAAAAGAACACGACTAGCCTTAATTGTTCTGCAGTAAATGAAGAAACGTATTTATCGAGCATTATTATTCCTATTATAGCAAGATGAAAATGAAAATATCGTATTGTCTAATAATCGAAGTATAAAGTTTTGAAGTGTTTGAGAGAGAGTAGATTTGTTGCTCAATCTAAAAGAACGTCAATGTGTTTGGATCCACATATATCTGACTGTATGCAGCTAATTTCTTCAACCCCATTTGTCTCATTTCATCACGAACCTTATTAGCCTCATCCCACCGTTCGTGAGTGGTGTATGTATTCGATACGAGAGCATAAGTTCCGATGCCTACTCCTCTACTCTTGAGGAGACCATTTCTGATCCTCTTAAGTATCTTCTCATTCCCATGAATTTTGCATGCATTAAGCAACGCTCCCCAAACAACGCCGTCTACTTCTGTTGGCATTTCCTTCATGAAATTCTCTGCTTCCTCTAAGAACCCTGCTCGACCATACATATCAACTAGGCAGGCGTAGTGCAGTGTTTGAGGGGCAATCCGATAAACATTTTTAATAGCATTGAAAATCATTAACCCTTGATCAACTAGACATGCGTGACTACATGCTGATAACAAGCCAAGGAAGGTTACATCATCAAGAGGAATCCCGTGGACTAGCATGAGCGAAAAAAGCTGCAACGTGTGTATACCATAACCATTCATGGCCATGCCGCTTATGAGGGTACTCCACGAAATGTGATCCTTGCAAACCAGGGTTTTAAAAACCGAAACTGCCATACCTACTTCCCCATACTTTACATACATGTTTATTAATGCATTTCCCAGAATGCCATTCAACACGAGATCTGGCCGTGCACTTATATACGAATTCACCCACTGGCCTAAACTCAATGCCCCAATCGAAGAACACGCTGACAATACATTTACAATGGTATCCTTATTAGGCTCAACTTCCTCTCCCTGAACCATCTCCTGAAAAAGCTTCACTGCCTCGTCACAAAATCCTCTTTGTGCATAACCACCCACCTAGTCCAAGAATACACATCTCTCTTGAGCATATTTACAAACAGGTACCGTGCACTCACCAAAGACCCACATCTCATGTAAAAATCCAACACTGCATTGTCCAAAATAACATTCCTTTCAGATAACTTCCTCATACAATATCCATGAACAGATTTACCAAACTTTAAAGCTCCTAAACTCGAACAAGCGGACATGACAATGACAAGAGTAGTAGAATTAGGCGGCACATCCATGCACATAAACTTAACAATTGCTTCCTCCACAAATCTACACTTGTTAAGACCCGAAATCATCGAAGTCCACGAAACAACATCAAGGTTTGGTATGGAATCGAAAACCCGGGTAGCAGATACAATGTCAGCTTGGGTTACGTAGAAGTGAAGCAACGAGTTTTGGATGAAGGTATCGGAAAAGTGCCCGGTTTTTACGACGCGGGCATGGACTTCCCGGCCCTTGTTGTTATCATGGAGGAAGCAACATGCCTTGAGAGCGTAAGTGAAGGTGTAGTGGTTGTGGGAGGTTGGGTAGTAGAGCATTTGGTTGTAGAGGAAAAGGGCAGTTTGTGGGGCGAGGGAGTTTGTGAGATGTCCCAGTTGTTCGTGACTAGAATTTCTGTTGGGGATGTTTCCTAGCCGACGAGCACACAGCTCCCCGAGAGGTTGGCGCCGGTTGATGTTTTATGTCGGGCTTCTGCTTCATTGGCGGGCTTGTCGGGCATAGCTTATCAGGCAAGGCTGAAAGAGAATGACAGAGTTAACTTTGAAAGGTGCTCACAATCAAGATTAACTTTTAAGTGCTCAGGCGTGCCACTGCCATCTTCAGCATGGCAGATGTAAAACGGATGTTGAGTTTTAGTTGTATATATACCCGAGAAACTGTTTTAGTTATGAAAAATGCCTTTATGGGGTCTTAGGTGTAGGCCTTGAGGCTTCCAATCAAGAACTAACACAGTACTTGAATATATAATGTTTTGTTTCATTGATTACAGAAGTATTATGATTATTATACTTCTGATTACCCGAGCCCAACAAGCAGAAAGAATCCAAATAGGTGCCTTTGTAGGGCCTTAGGTGTAGGCCTTAAGGCTTCCCATCAGAATTCCTTCTATTCTCAAACGTTATTCGATAATCATAATATAATAGAAATAACACTAAAGGATAGGTCGATTACTTGCGCCCCAAGTAACTTCGGACTTCTTGTTTATCAAAGACTGTCGTGGATGGGTTAAGTCCACATAAGGTTCTTTTTTATGCCTTGAGACCAAGGACTTTTAAATGATCAATCTTACATGCCCGAGGGCTTAGAACTTAGATCTGATTTAATCTGTGAAGACATATTTAAATCGGATTCAAGAACTGAGGAGCCTTTTTAATCATCAACTTGCCAGAAATAACTTGGATACAACTGGAAGTATACAACATATTGCTAAACTACTGAATGAAAAGACAAAAATAAAGAAGGTCGGGCAAGGCTGATCATCTTGCAACTTCCTATCTTTGTGGTTTATCAAGGAGTTTGAGAGCTTTAGAAAGAGGGGTAGGGAGATGGGTTTACCGAAGGAAATCGATACTACAGCAAGTTTTAGACAAGGTAGCAGAGCTATTACAAAGGCTTTGGGTGAGGGTTGATCCCGAAAGGGATGAAGGCTTGGGCTGACTACAGCTTCGTTGAAAGCAAATCTGGTTTGAGCAGAGTTTGTGCTTGTATTTGTTTGTTTGATTGAGTGTCCTTATCTCTGATTTCTCTTTCTTCTTTTATAGACACTTTGGCTTGGCCTCCTGTAGCAGTGATCTTGCCCGAATGCAACTTGAAGGGCAATGACTCATCAGCTTTTTACTTGTACTGCCACTGTAAAGTGCTTTTGGGCTGATTAGCTGGCTGGTCTACACCACTTGACCTCTAAGTATGTGAGCAAGTGGTTCAAATGGTCTGCACCTAGTCAGAAAAGGGTCTCTCCTGCTTTCTGGGCTTTGGCTGGGCTTCGGGCTTTTCTCCTTCTAGACTTCTTTCTTTTGGGCCAACTCCTTCTTGAGCCCAAAGTTCAAGTTTTAACCCAAACACCAGTAGAGGGTTTAAAAGTTAGGGTTTAGGGTTTTTGATGATTTGCTTTAATTGTCGTTTCATTGTACATTTTGACGAAAATGTATACACAGTAGGTGTTGGAATTGCTGGGCATTCATCTTTTTCTTGAAGAGAAATCGGACATCTAAAACAATTATGGGCAGCAGAAGGGTGGGAATTGGGGTTGCGTAGAGGAAGGGAGGCGGAGGTAGGAGGGGGATCCGTATGTCGGGGTTGGTACATGCGATATGGGGTGGGTACAGGGCTGTTCCAAATATTCTTAATACTAAACAGGGTGGGGCGGGGCAGGTCCAAATATATGAGCAAAAGGGTGCCCGACCTAGACCTTTTCCACCAGTCTAATATATGAGATTAAATCTCTACCCTTGGTTCTAATCTAAAGGGCAAACACTCTTGACTCTCTGTTTGTTCCTCCTTAGTTCATTCTCTCGAACTTGAAGCTTCAACTGACTTCGACTCTCGGTTTCTCACTCAGACACAAATTCACAGAATGTCGTCAATCGATCATCGAACTCCGTCCTTTCGTTCGAGCAATAAGGGGGACAAGGATTGTCTGCCCTCTTTGTTCCCGTGCCCTCTTGTTTTATGTGGTCACGGTTAAGTCATTTCAACATTTTATATTGTTTTTTTATAAAGATAATAAGATAAAAATGACTAGTAATATAAAATGTTGACGTGGCTTAACCGTGACCACACAAACAGGATGGCATGAGAGGGCACGGGAACAAGGAGGGCAGACAATCTTTGTCCTTGTTAGTATTGTCCTTGTTCTGTGGGTTTTCAAATTCCATTTAAATTTATTGACTCTGATTAGGATTGGGAGTCTTTAATCCCAACCCTCTGCGCCAAACATAGATCTTGATCAAATTTCCCAATTGGATTAGACTATTTCCTTAATTGTATATTGAATCAACACTTTTTAAACATGAAAATGAGAGACAAAAGTTAATACATGTGAAATATAACATCATTACCTTCTTTCTTTTTTTTCTCTGGAGTGTATGTTACAAAATTACCCTTTATAGTAGAAACGTTTTTTCACACTGTTATCTCTTCATCTATTACTCTGTGTCAAGTGGTGTTCCCTACCAATAGACTTTTGACATCTAAATCTTCTTTTATCCCTTTTTAATCAAATAAATTCTTAAAAGCTGGAAGTCCAATAGTCAAACAAAAACTAAGGGATGTGAACTTCCCCATCAAGCACTTCTGCAACTTGCTTTCGAATTCCATCATATTTCCTACTCGATTTCGAATTCAATCTTGTTTGCCCAACACTTACCCTCCACTTTTGAATTGAAAACCGTAGTCTAAAAAGAGAGTAAAAAATAACGAAAGTTAACTTCTAAATCCCAAAGCACGCCGTGCCCAAACCCGATTATCTCTCTTTCTCATGTTTTCATTTTCTGGGTGTTGGTAAATTTTGTGATGATTTCTAAATTAGTGAAAAGATTTACAGAATGAGTAATTGGTAATGGCGGTAAGAGTTGACGGTGGAAGTACAACTACGTTAAATTAATTGGTTTTCCGTCGACGATTCAGCATCTCAATTTTTAAGAATTAAAGATATAAAAGAATATTTAGATGTCAAATTTCAATTGGTGGGAACACCACCTGGCTTTTGTGCCGGGAACCCCAAAATATTTCTCCACAGTGAGCTCGCGTTTCTACCTTCAGTTGAATCGATATTAATGTTATTGATAAATGGTTTTGGTTTGGGGTGCTATTTAGGCAATAAGCATTGCTAAGAGATCCAATAAATGGTGTGGGTTTATAGTCATAATTTTAAAGAAACTTTGGTTGAACTGATTCTGCAAAAATTGTCGTAGACAAGTTGAAATAATTCTACAAAAATGGTCAATGATGGGTTGAACTGATTCTGCAAAAATGGTTGAGACTTATTGAACTGATTCTGCAAAAAATGGTCGATGACAGGTTGAACGGATTCTGAAAAATGTTCGAGGACGGGTTGAACTAATTCTGCAATAATTATCGAAGACGGGTTGAACTGATTCTGCAAAAATGGTCAAGGATGAGTTGAACTGATTCTGCAATATGGTGGGTTTAATTTATTCTACAAAAATGACCGAGGACTGATTGAACTGATTCTGCAAAAATGGTCGATGACTGATTAAACTGATTCTGCAAAAAAATGTCGAGAACCGGTTGAACTAATTCCACAAAAATGGTCGAACGGGTTGAACTGATTTTGCAAAAAGGTGGATTGAATTGATTATGCAAAAAGGATCGATGAGTGATTGAACTGATTCTGCAAAAAAGGTCGGGGACGTGTTGAACTGATTATGCAAAAATAGTCAAAGACGGGTTGAACTAATTTTGTGAAAATGGTCGAAGACTGATTGAATTGATTATGCAGAAATAATCGAGGATGGGTTGAGCTTATGGTACATATTAATTTTGTTGGAGTTGTGAAGGTTGGTTTCTATAACAGCCCTAAAGCCTTAGGGGTATAACTGGTATTTTAGAACATTGTTTCCATGTTTTTAGGCTGGACTTTAGTTGTTTTTATGTTTTTGTCTCTCATTGACATGTTTAAAAACTAGTGGAGTTCCTTGAAATATAGTGAATTTTTTTGTCTCTATATATAAAGCTCCTAGTCCTTGGTGTTTTACCAACCAATCACCCAGCTACCCTATACTTGACATAAAAAAAAGGGAAATACCTCAAAATAGGACAATTTCATAATCTTGGAACAGAAATATGATTTTTTTGAATGTGCATACAGCATGCACACGCTAGGTCTGGCAAACAGGTCGGGTTTGTCCTGTCGTGTTTGTGTAAAACTTGTTATCTTGACAAATCATGTCGTCTTACACCCATTATCTTAACGTGTTATTAACACGTCGAGTCACTTTACCCAACAAGTAAATTGACCCGACCTGTTATGACCGGTTAAGAAAAATAATTTTTTTCCTTAAATTTGCACATACCAAATTCCCACATAAATATTACTTCAAAGCATAAAAGCACATTTATCGTTAAGTACTACATCTACACTCCAAAATAAGAGCTTAATAAAAAGGCACCAATACACTACTAGTCTAATACAAAATATCAAATGTGCAACGATATGCAAAATGAATGAGTTTTTCTTTTCAAAGTTGCGAAGCCTTTCTCAAAAGTTAAAACCTTACCAATGAAACTCAAAGCTTGCATGTTATTCATTTTACAAAATCCTTCAATTTCATCAATCACCATGGGGAAATTGTATTGGAACTTTGGCTTGATCTATTGCCTTCAAGAGTTACATTGATAATGTTTTCAGTAAAGTTTTCCACATCAAAACTCTCTTTCTCATAAACTAAGTATAGAAAAACCAAACATTATAAACCATTCAAATTATGAGAATTTTACCAAAATAATTATGAAAAGAAATAAAACAATAATACTATACCATATAAAAATATATTACCTCATTCTTTCAAAATTTTCT